TCTTGTCACCACTAAAGTAAATTTACTTAAATACAGTTCTCTCCCCTACTGCAAGACTGCTGGTTTCTAAACCTCCAACGCTTCTCCACTGTACTCCCCTCCTTGTGCCTGACCTTCCTGCCCACTGCTGCATTACTGATTTACTAGTAAGGGCAGAGAAACTGCTCTCTACCACAGCTAAATAAGAAAAACTGTTTTGCCAGATGTACTTGATGTCATATGGGAGACGAGAAACAGCAGACTATCACCTTATCGAAGTTAAATCAGCCCACGTTTGCATCCCAGCCAAAAGAGATCTGGTCCAAACCAAAACCAGTTCTTTGGCAGTGTATGCAGCTTTCCGTCAGCTGCTTTCCTACCTAGAATTCATATGCACTTTCTCGGCCCACAAGCTCCTGCAAGGTTAAAGAAATTAATTTTTAGGTAACTTGGAAAAACATGAAGATAAAAAAAGAAGTCACTGCTTGATCATTTCAGGTATTTACACTTGGTACTTAAAAAACAATAAATTAAATGCTGTTAGGATACAAAATGTCAATTTTCTATTTAACTTGCGTCACTGTTTCTCTGTTGACTTGATGTTATATTATGCACAAAATACATTATATTCTCACTATGACTTAAATGTCAAACCCCCAAAAGTCTGAGTCATGCTTCCATACCAATTATAGCCTAGTGATCCAGCCTATGAGGTCGGTAGAAGGAAGTATCCCACGTGGGATAGTTTGTTTATGGCAAATTCTGCAAAGTAAGATTTGAGTAGAAGAAAGCACTTGCACTTTTGAATTTGGTCCATTCTCACCCATCGTATCAGCTATTACATCTGCCTAAATACGAGTTACTAACCTGGCCACAAAGACACAGCACCAAGGTGGCTAAAAGGAAGAGAACACACAAACGCACATGCAAGATTTAGTCAAAATAAAAATTGGCACAGCAAAATACCAAACAACTAAAATCAAGACAACTATTAGAAAAAAGGTATTGCTCCCACGGTAGTTGTAAAACAAGTAAATTAGAAGAAAATGCTGAGTCAAGAGGGAAGGTGGGAGGAAGAGAGCGGGGAGCATCCATGGAAGAACCAGCCCCACGCAGGGGCAGCTCCCGCGGTGGCGTGCGCGCAGACCAGCAGCAACAGCACAAACAGAATCTGTGACTGCCCCCGGCCCAACCTCCCGGACACGGCGAGAGGGCTGCTCTGCTTCGTGAGCTCCTGTTAACAGGGTCAGTAAATGAGGTTAGCACTCTGTCAGGCACTGCACACCTGAGAGGCAGGATTGTTACCAATTCAGTCTATTCACCTGCAAATATTCTTATTATGAGAGGAGAAGGAAGAAAATACTTTCAGTATAAATACAGTTACTAGACTAATCAAATTCAGTCTGACTGCAGCAAAATCCACTTATAGCTGTGCATTCATTATTGCCTAAAAGACGCTGGTTTGCCTCTGGTTAATATTCACCACAGAAATATTCTGTGTTAAAACCTGAGTTCATCAATTTCAAGTAACTTGCCACATTATAGAGCCAGTTTGTATTCATAACTGCTTACTGTCACTTGTTCGAACTTTGTTTTGTTTTGAAGGTTAAAACTGATCTTTAGTACCCCTCGTGTTCCCTCCTGAGCACACCTCCTAGGCAGAGGTCCTGGCTTTCTGTCCTTCCCACTCAAAATTGTCACTTAACTACTGACTAGATCCCAGAGATACTCTTCTTGCTCTTCCACCCTTATTATTGCTCCTGCTGCCTTTGCGACACATAAGCCCTTTCACTCCAGCGCTCTGAAAGCCAGTTCCTAAACTCAAATTACATTTTCAAAGTTCTTTATTCTTTTATTCCCCTGCTGTAAGTACAAATCGGCACAGACAAAAATAACAAAAAAGCCTTTATGTCTGGGTCATTATACCTTCGGATATCATTGCCAGTGTTTGCAAGCTTTTCTTAACTCAGTTGCACTGCCAAGTCAGATCGGGAGAAACACGGTCTTGTTTGCAGTGTGCTGTGTGGTCCAAGGCTTATCACCTGCTTAACTGTGACAATCCATTCCCTCCTTCCAGCTAGGAAGTCTAAGGCTTAGCTCTCATTTATTCTGTGATCTAGCAGTGGAAAGAATATTTTCAGACTGCAAATATTAATAACAAAAAAGCACTTTTTATACTGTTTTTTTCTCTGGATGCCACTCACAATCTTCACTTTTTACCAGGTTATTCCCTTGCTTCAATGATCATAATTGTTCTGGCTGACTGTCATTGGAACATCTTAACTGCCTTACATTAAGCAGATGCATTCATCAGGAGTTGAATAAATTATGAATGGCTGCAGCTGGACTGTGGGTGGTCTGCCCAGCACTGGGCCAAAGAGTCTCAGAAGTAATCCAGGCTACACAGAGCTTCCCCCATATCAGCTCTGCCTCACAACCATCCTCCTCACCACCCCTCTTTACAACCATCTCCTCAATCCTCAGGTACGCCAAAGAGCAGATGCTCTAAGACAGAGTCATTGCCCTTTGCAGCCCAAAGATTCTGCTCAACTTCGATGAAAGTGGCTTTAATTGCTGTACAACTCTCCTTCCACATCCACCAGATAACACGGGAGGCGCCACTTGTCACCAATAGCACAGTATTATCGAGTGTGCGAAACGCACAATGAAATAGGTGAGATACATTATTGTGCCAAGTGGCCTTGAAATAAACCAGCAATAGTAACATTACTTCACTGGAAACAGGGAATTTGTACTTACTATATATTAAAGCAAAAGTCACCAACCAGTTCATAGCAGGTGCTATGTGGCACAGTGGGAATTACAACCTGAAACACATAGTTTAATCAGCAAATACAAATACTTACGTCTTCAGTTGTCAGAAGACTGTTTAAAGACAGTATGTTCTACAGCTAAAAGCAACTACTCCAGCACGATGGGGTTATCATGCTGCCCAGTCAGTGTTGCACCTGATCTGCTTTCATCCTTCCAATCCGAGATGTCAACATACAAAAACTCAGAGGTAATTCTTTGAGATTTTCTTCTGTTCTGCACAGTTCCCAAGTTAGAAACTTCTTTAAGAAAAATTAAATGTAAACGCAGCAGGCTTTCCTAACAGAGAAGTAGGAAATAAAAATGCTAAAGTAATGCTCCTATTACTAAAAAGTAGAAAGCTACCTGCGCCAAATCAATACAAAACCTAAAATATGCCACATAATAAGTATGAGCAATGATATTATTAGAGGCCAGCTTTCTTGTACGACTGGAGTATTTACATTTCTAAAACAAAGAGAACCCCTTCTCTTGACATGATAATTTACTGAATTATTTGTTCAATATTAATACATGTAGAAAATTTAATAAATGCAATATTAGAAAAATAGTGAAGGAACAAACAAGTCAACGCAGTGGTGGTTATTAAGTATAGCTGGGTTGAGTGGTGTTACTGCTTCTTTGCTACAGGGATCAAGTCAATTGTATGCCTGATAACAGCTGCACTGTAGAGGCTGAAGTTGAAGACTGCTTTTGGAAAAAATAGCGTGAAAGACTGGAGCTAAAAGATTATTCCTTGACTGATTTCAACATACTTATAAAATGACTTGGTCCAGGATCTGTATTCAGTGATAATTTGCAAACTAAGGTAACATTCTAAACCCCTTTAGATTCAATTTCAGATAAACTACAGCCAAGAAAGGTCTTGTTTTTTGAAGAAGCTGTTAAGACTGGATACCATTTCAAAGTTATGATGTGAAACTATCCAGTATACAGCACCCAATTCTGGCTTACCTCTGTACCGCTGACAACAGCAGATACAGAAAGTAATGACATTGGGCAGGTTTTGCCTTGCATTTAAAATGGTATGTTTACCTGAAATAAAGTAAGTGAAAATATAAAATTCAGATGAATGTAAGCAGGCAACAGTGAGTTGTAAAACAGGTATGTCAAAGGATACAGGTCAATTGCAGTTTCATATTGCTAAAGCAAAGAAAGGTTGAGAACCTTCTGTGATGAACTCAGGCCTGGAATACTATCCAAATCTAACAGAAAAAAATATGAACATGGATGTACTTTAATTAAACATTACCAGATGGCCTGTATGTAACGCACAGATTTTTGTTAGCCTTTGCTCTAAGAGAAATTCAAATGTGGAAAGAGGAAAATCTATGATCTGCACAGTTCTATATTCTCTTGGTAGAGAAACATCGAAATGATCCTTAAAAAAGTACATCCAAAACAGATTTGGAAATTTTCTTATTTAACAGTTGGTTCAAATACAGTTTGAATGGTTTGGACTGTCCAGTGGTGATGACAGCTCATCACGCATTAGATAACCACAGGAGGTCTGTAAGAGCGAGTCTAAGCTAATCATCTTCCATGCAGGGGAAGGGGAACAAAGTTCAGGCCAACTTCATTCTGCCAACTGCAAGACATTCCAGCTGTCTGAACTGTTTATAAAGCAGAAATCCAGTTGATATAGGTTATCCCAAATGGCATATATCACTGAATTATTTATTTTTAAATGAATAATTGCAAAACTATATCCACGAGAAGTTAAGGTAAGTATTTATAGTGCATACAGTTCTTTGAAATAGCTCCCCAGCTAGGTAGTCTGTCATGTGTACCAAATGCATGGTGATTAATTCACAGTCAAAAGACAGTAATTGCAAGTTACGTACCTTTTGGAAGTTATAATAGGGCTGCCACCTGGGTATTAGCTCTCTTTTAGCAGAGAGGCCCTAAAGGTACAAGTAATAAATTAGACAACGTCTCCATGGCTAAAGTTCAGATTAATAGATAGTTTCACTACCTAAAATAAACATTTTTTTCCTCTAAGCCTTATTCTTCACTTCTCTGGCATAATTGCTAGCCAGAACTTTTGAAGTAGTTACTAAAAATAAGGTCCTGAGGGTCATCACTTTGTTCAAGTGCAAGATCTATAAGCTAAACCAGACTGCCACGCTTCGCTCTATTTGAGTTTGCTTCTGAATACAGTTTCTTCCTAAGAGTAAAAACACTCATAGTGAGATTTTGACTTTCTTTAATTTAAAGATTGTATTACAGAAAAGTTTAAGTAAGGAATCCTTATAAGGATTAACTCTTGACATTATATATTGCCAAGATACAGTGTAGCTGCAAGGGCTCTATGTGAACCTTCATATAAGTTGCTTTCTTACATACAGTCGCTGAACAACAAAAATGGTATTTACCATTTGTAAGAGAAGACAGTGGTATTTAAACAGTCCTTTTACCAGTGTGTTCTGGTTTTCCCAAATTAGAAACACGCCATATTAAAACTGTAAAATCCTATTATACAGGAAGTTGATAGAGATGAATTTTCTGAAGATTGCAAATGATGAAACATTAAAATGAAAACTAAGGAGTGTTGATTATGTAGAATGGTTTCTCTTTTACTGGCAGGTCAAATATACTAGAAACGTACAAATATTTCTGATAATCTAATTCCGATGAACTGAAAACACTGAAGTAACATACACAGGCTAAGAGAATTCAATACTGTTCCAAGGCACTTACTGAATCTCCATGACTAGATGAAAACCAGAACAAATTAGGTCTGACAATTAAACAGCATATAATATAAAAATAACCTTTTGCTTACAATTTACAAAATGTATTACAATCTTTATCTCTGCTAACCTGCAATTCTGGCTGTGTGTGTCCAGCAATTTTTGTAAAAAACCCCAGAAACTATTTTCTAAAACTTCAGGGCAAATAACTTACAAATAAGGTACACAAAAATTTAGATCATGCAGAGATTTCTTACATCTTCTGTTAATATTTTATGATTGCAACTTTATCAAATTATATACTTACTTGCCCTGTACATATACAAAATAATGCATACATGGTAATCAAACGTTAGCAAAAAGTAGTCCATAAACACAATCTGTCAAAAGTATTACTATATTAACATATGTCTACAAGCAGCGTGTAACAGGGTTAAAAGACATTAAGGCAATAATACTTGAAGTTACAAAATAAATCATATGTAATACTTTCTCCTAAGTGTAATAAGGCAGGTAGATGGCCCCAGCAAAAAGTTAAGTTGTAACACTGGAATCCACTGTTGTGAACAACGTTTAAGGTTTTGCATGGGATGTCTTGTAAGAGTGTACCATTTGGTAGTTAGATCTACACTGCTCTGTGTTAGTCACCCCCCAGAAAAGTGGAATACTATTTTTCTAGTTCTCAGTGGCACTTGAGTTTTCCAGTATAATTTATTGATAGTATGTCCATTGGTTCTTGGATCATGTCCATTCTGAAGGCGGCTCTCTTGGTCCTCTGGGCTTTCTGCAGCGGTTACCAAAACCTAAGGAAAGAAATGTATTTATTAGTTCTGTCCACTCGGACAACAGTCTCAGAATGGTTGGCAGCAGTCAGAAGAATCACTAAGGAAGAGGTTTATTCTCAGGGCTAGAAAACAACTTTGTAGTATTAATTCTAAAGGCACTATGGCCATATGTAATACAAAAATGAAGAATTTGCATATAATTATAGTTCATTATCTAAACCTCAATTGAAAAGTACTTTTCATCAAATACAGTATTACAGCCTTTGTTATCATTTCTTGATTTTTTTTTTCCTTCTCTGTGTACCAAAGCAGTTTTCTCAGGTATTATTCCTGAGAATTACAGAAATTATATCCCATTTGACTGATATACTCTGAAAAACAAGGTGAAGAATGACTGAATTGCTTATTCTGGGAAAAACTCTGTCAGTGATGCTGAAGAGACAAGGCAGGCTGAAATTGGCTGGGTTCTCCACCTCTGGGAGTTAGAGGGAGAGAGTAGTAGCAGCTATCCAAACTAGCACTGTTAGTGAATCTTCTGTTTAAATCACCTAGTGATTGTGTTTTGAATGAATTGTAATTACCAATATCTGTTACTTCTGCAGGAAATTCTGAAATTTGACCTCTTGTATCAGTGGAACCAGAAAAAGAAATCTGAGGTAAAATGTCAGTTGGTGTTTTGTTGCTTCTTTCAGGACGATCTGGAAAACACACACACACACCACCCTTACTGCAACATTCATTTAGTCAGCACTGTGCGAAGGCTCTTTTTAAGTACAGCTCAGTCCTGAACACAACTTTCATCAAGTATTATTTACAAAAATAAAGACTTTAAAGCCAATTTCTCATTTCTTAAAAAGCATACTTCAAATTGTTTATGGAACAGATGTTCCATGATAGTGACACATTCCAGTTGACTAAATATGGATTTTTTTTTTTTTTAAAGTTTGTATGGATATTTAATCATGTAGTGCCATGCAGCTTTTAACCATGTAGCATGTATTTATAGCAAGAGCTCACAGTACTATTTAATACATCAATATAAATGCATCTGTTCACATTCTTTCTAAATTAAAAGTGCTTAAAAAGACCTGATAGGTAACTATGTTGCACTACTAGTATAAATCACTATTAGCAAATCTGTAATATTCCTGAAAACTAATTCATTTTTTTAAAAATCTACCAGTATTTAACATGCAGCTTCAAATGGACTGTACAAGTCCATTCAAGCATACACAGAAGATACATGGCAGGCATAAGCTTAAAGCTGGAGCAGGTTGCTGCAAAGTTAAATATCAACTGATAGACTATACCTCCTACTGAAGCCTTTTCAGAAGATCAGAAATGAAAGACTTGGGTAAATATGCAACATACATACACATATATACACACACATCACTGCTGAACATATTTCAGCCTTACTCCTGTCTTTAAGAAACTGAAGAAATTAATTCACCAACTTTTACAATCTCTATTGCAATAACATGGGAAGGTTCTAACTAAGCTGAAAAAATGTTATTATAATATGCATTTAAATTCAGTATTTTTGGTCTTTATTATTTTATCATAACCTAAGTTTAACATAAATTCTTAAGTTAGACTTGTAACTTGCTTCCTCAGAAAATCTTAAAAGCTTTAAAAATAGAAGGCCTTTTCAGAAATGCCAGTGTTTTGACAATACACCTACATATCTTTAGAGCAAAAACCAAATTCAGATAAAATTATGTTTAGTAAGCAAAATGTATTAAAAAAAAAAAAAATTCCATCACTTACCAGGTAGTACAGGTGAAGTTGTTTTCAAACCCTGTTAATGAGAAATATTTAAAATAACATTATATAATGCTTCCAAAATACCAAAAGAATGACAGAACTTTAAGATGATAACATCATCTTAAAAAAATATACAATATCTGTGGAAATATCTACTTGCTCCTACATTTCTGACTTGCTATAACACTGATAAAAAAAAATGCTATAGTAGTTAATAAAGAATTTACTATCAGAAACTTATTTAATATGTAATAAAAAGTTAAAATTGTCACATTACAAATTATTTGCAAAATTAGGTATGTTAGTTCCCATACTATATTTACAGTCTCTAAAGATTCACATCTATCTCTCTTTACACATGGCTTAAAAATGTGACAAGGTGGCTGTAAAGTGTGTTGGGGGTGCACGAAAAGAAAGGCATGAACGTAAAGAGGATTTATATGCTTTTGAAGTTTTACCAGCTATTTATGCTGGATGACTTTGAGCAACTAGTAGATTGATGTGAAAAATGGAATCTGATGGGCAGAAAAGTGTTTAAAATAAATATGGATATAAGGAAAAACTTTGTCAGGCAATGAAGCAGGTTGCCCACAGTGGATAAAAAGTCTCCACCTCTGGAGGTTTTCAAGACCCAACTGGATAAAGCCCTGTGCAGGCTGGTCTGAATCCCTGCTTCATGCAGCAGGTTGGACTAGAGACTGCAATACTCCTACAGCATGAATTAGCTTATGATTGATTAACGGCAGACAGCAAGCTCCACAGAAGCAGTATATTTACACTCTTAAAGCCATAATTTAAGATATATTAAGGATGACTTTTAAAAGTATTGCTGAATTTAGAAAACTAGATAGTTTTCTTGGAAAGAAAACATGCTCTTAACACATCAGTTCAGTAGCACAGGCAGAGGAAAAACCGGCTAGTTGTAGATGATCAACAGCTGTAACTTTTCTTAAGTATGTATTTTGCTTTTTGTTGTAGCTCCCAACCAAGCCAGAAATGACTGATCAGTACAGACTTGCCTCCTATACTTACTGTAGGGACTGTTTGTTCAGGGAGATGCTGATCACGCAATATGCTCCACTCAGACTGTGCAGTCATAACTGGCTTCGACAAGGGTGTGCCTAGGAAAAATTAAATCAAACTCAGCATACTTGAGTTCTCTCCATGATGAGGTATTAGAACACAGCATTAGAAATGTGTTATAAAGCAACTTTTTAAAAATTGTGCGTAAAAACATGAATCTCTCTTTACATAAAGAACACGACTACAGTGTTTGAACTGTGCATGTTCGTTTCCTTCATTTGGAAGCTCCTAACTAATAGCAGGATTAGATGCTTCTCCAATTATTTTTAAAAAAAATGTTATACCAGCTGTGCAACAATAGTAGATCTGAAAAATGACACACTAAGTAAAGAAAACACACAAGTCAAGACAGTCAATACCTGTCTTTTACTGACACCATGCAAAAACACAATAAAAATTGAAGTGTTTTTACTAATTCCAGTCGCAAAAAGATTTTTTTGTTTGTTTTTTGGTTTTGTTTGTTCATTTGTTTGGGGTTTTTTTGTTTTGTTTGTTTGTTTGTTTTTGATAAAAAGCTTTATTTCTCATGTTCTCACAGAGAAGAAGTCAGTCCATAATACCCAAAGAAAGGATCACCTTGATTCTGAACTACCTATGCTTATGGTGCTCAAGGGACACATGTACAAAACTACAATGCTTTTATGCTGAAAATAATCTACATCAACTACTTTGGTTAAAAATTTTTGAAAGTTTCATAAAGTGACACTAAACAAAAGTCTCATTAAATAACTACATCACACTAGGTTTTTTGGAAGATACCAAACATTAACCTAATTTCTCACTTAATTTCAATTTTTTTTTTGTGTTATGCCATTACTAGTTTGATGAATGAAATATGAAGATATAAGTACACAATTTGTAAGTGTCAGTTTTCTTTCAGTCACCCTTTTGATACAGGCAAAAAGTAAACTATGTTAAACTTAAAAATAAACTAGGCTTGTTCCCTAGATGCAGTGCAGTATGAAACGTCATCTTCCCTTTGCCCAAGAAAGGACAATCAGATAAGCACTGTTCATGTGTTTTCCCATTCCCTACCTGTGAGCAGTAGGAAACTAATATAGCTGGGGAATCCCCTAACTGTATTCTATTTCCCCACTGTATCTCATTTCCATACTCTTCAGACTGAAAAACATCTCCACTAGAATCAATATTTAAGTCTCCAATATACTTAAATATCACGTAACAGCATCCTTAGTCAGAAAATGAGAAGTAATTTGACCATGTTCAAGGGTTTGTGAAAGTTAAATGTCGTCAAAGCAAGCCATTACACACACTGGATTTGATGCCATTTTACAATTTGCTCCAACACTAAGATTAACCAAAAAGCAGGGGCATTCAAATACAATACTGAAACACATTTCACATGTCATCCCCAATTATCACAAAACATTAAGAACTCACTCTGTTCACTTGCTAATACAAATGATTCTGGTGTTCTTTCTGGGAGCGGGGGAGAGGAATCTTCACTAGTATCAGCATCTAAATCAAATAGGACATTTAGGTAAGTTAAACACATTTTCCTTGCAGGTATTTAGAAGCTGATCTTTTGACACATGAGACCAACCTAAACTTGGTATTACATTTAAAGCAAAAGGAAAATTTGCTCTAAATATTATAAAACGTTTTGGTTTATCATACTAATGCCTTGGGAGCAACTTCATGCTAGCAACACTAACTTCACGTTAAGGGGGGTAGGATCAGTTTGTGGGTTAGAAGAAAAGTAAAATACATTTCAGTCTAAATAATTGGGAGGAAGAAAGCCTCAGCAACTTCAGTGAATACTTTTTTTTTTTTTTGTTCTTTCAGAAAAGGGAAGATAAGGGTAACTAACAGTCTGCACTGGAGCGGTACCATTAGCTTCTTGAACAAGTAACTTGCCAATAACTGTAACCACAGTAGTTACTGTAATTTAATTGCAGTTCATTACATGTCTGTTTGCAGCCACTGCAAGGGAGTTAAGCTCATTACAACACACTGGCTTCTTGAACTCTTCTGCAGACACTGGCAAATATACGCAGTTGGTGCCAACCAACTGAACCACTGATGAAGCTCCGAAACCCTGGTAAGAAGCATGTTGAAAATATGTATGAGCTCCTTCAGCTATGCTTCAGCAGTTTTCAGTTTTATTTCAGTGGCTCTAACCATACTTCCACAGCCAATACTGCACAGCCAGTTTGCACGGTGCAAGGACATTAAGGAATGTTGCTTTTCAGGACTGCGTAGTATGACAGTTTGTTTTTAGGGAAGCTCCACATTAACCACTTCTCTGAAGCCCCCAGACTGGGTTTTGCCAGTCTCCAGTGCCAGAGGAGATGGCTACCACTGGTACCAGTAACACATCCCGTCCCCAGTCTGTTCCCTCTCGCCTCTCAGGAGTGCACTAACACCAGCTGTTCTGGCAGCAAAAGCCACACGCCAGCCTGCTAAGGAATTTGAAATAGAAATTAAAGGTTTAAAACAATTCAAAGTGGCTGCTGCCGTAAGAAGTCTCATCTGACAACCGTATTTTAGACGTACAAAAAATGAAGACACATTTCAACTAATGAAGGCATGAAGCTTGCCTTGCCAACATGCCAGCAGCAGGGACAGGAACTCCATCACAATTTACAAGCCACTGTGATCTTCTTTGAGACCTGCTCATCTCAAGTTTACTATACAGCATAAGAAAACCTTTAATTATTGAAATAGTCTCTATAAAATCAGCAAATTAAGTCACTATGGAGTATGTGTATGTACTAGCTGAAAGTGGGGGGTTTAGGTTTTGTTTTGGGTTTTTTATTTTCTGTTGTTCTTGTTGGGTGGTTGTTGTTGCTCTTTTAACCTCAGGGTACAACTGCTTTTCACTTCATTTAAATTAAAAAGAGGATTTAATTATGCGGTAAGATCATGCATACCAACAGTTATGGTTAAGCAACTAAGTTCACAGGGAAGCTTCATTGGTGGCTGCACTTGTATCCCCAGCTTGGGACAGAAGAGTCCTGAACAAGTATGAAAATGAAAAAGCCACTGTAAAACATGGTTTAGGATCACTGGTACAAAGCAATCTAACCCTAATATTCTTGAGTCTGAGGTGGATTACAAAACCTGTAACCTGAATATAAAATGGGAAGTGTTGACTATCATACAAAAGGGAACAGATACACCTTTGATAACAAGATAAATTCTACAAAAATAATATAAAAGTTTTAAGCTATTCCTGTGAAATCAGCAACATACCAGCAGCACAAAGGCTGTACTGCTATTTCAGGATGTTTCTGATATGCAGTTACATGAAACAAATTGAGTGATATTTCTTCCATTCATTATTGTATTTATGACACATCACTTATTTTTACAGCATCTATATAGAGATGTGTAGAGAAGTAATGATTGTCAAACTGTGATAAACAATGATTGCCCTGGGAAAGAAGGAAAGAAGCCTGGCTAAGAGCACAGTTGGAAAAATACTATAGCATGTCAATCTACCAAAAACAAATTCAAAAAGGACTGCTTGGTATAAATGTTGAATTAACTATGACATAAAGGGCTTTGTCTCCTATGCAGAGCATTTGTGAAGTGTCACAGTTAAAAACATACACATATGTGCAAGTATAGTTTTGTGCATACACATAATATCACAAAATCCGTTTTTAAAGTTTCAAAATAGTTCGTGTTTCTGACTTCAGGTGAAAACTTAGTTCATGAGTTCGATTCAGCTGGTTCTGCATCTTCCATCATACAGTGAGCCCCATTTCACCTCAAGGCCACGTAGTCTGCGCAGACTCCTGAAGTGAGGTCACCACTGTGAAGGACTTCCTAGCACAAGAGTCTGATCTAAGCACAGAAACTCATGTTCTCCTTTCAGCTCCACAGACCTACTACATGCTTTGTTGGACTTCGCACAGCCAGTTACCAAGGCCTAATTTGTTTTTCTCAGCTATGTTCTCCACCGGATCTAAGTGTGCCAGCCTGACAAATCTGAATCTGCACATTTTAGGACCCTTTTGCCTCCAATAAATGACATCTAACTTTTTGCAGAAGCGGTCTTGCAAACTTTTCTTGCTCAAAGCGCCTCCAAAAAGCAGTAAAGTATTAAAAGTAACTGAATAATTTTCAAAGCACTACTAAAGCAGAACTTGGATTTTTAAATGAACAGCAACATTACTTTGTCTCCCCTGGCCATGTACAGAAAAAGAAGAATGTGGGGCTGAATATTTACAATGATATCAAAATGCAAGAGCCAAATCACAAGCAACTTCAAAGAGTGATACAGTGAAGGAGGTTACATCTACAGTTCTAGGGCCAGCACATCAAGCAGTGAGTATGAATTTGGTGTGTGTTTGGGCAAGTCTGTTTAAAATACTTTGACTACTCAGAACTGTCATTATTGTAGAAACTTCCATGAAATTGGACGCAAAGAAAAAAATGTGCCAACCAACAAACACAGATACGTGCATTTAAGGGTGCATTCATAACTCACAATAAAGCTTCTGAAGCAGCTTACCAAGGTCTGTTGTACCTTGTAACAGACATAGCTTATGTGTAAACCAAAAACTGTGAGGAAATGAGTTGCGCCCTTTCTGAAGCTGCCATACTACTCTGTGTAAATTTACATTTAAAAAATTGTAAAGAAGTTTATGTTGTCCAACTCGATAGATGCAACCAGATTAAAGAGTAGCACTTCTGAACCACACTGAAACCTACCTTTGCCATCTTCAGAACATGTTACAGCTGTTAAGTCATGCCTAGCAATAGACATTGGCAATACTTTTCTGGCAGAAATGTTTTCGGTATTAGTGGCAGCAGAAACTGTGGCACTTGCGGTTGAAACATTAGAAGCGCTTTTGCTCATGGCTCCGTCAAAGTTGATCTCATCTGTGTCAGAATCATCTGAATGAAGAGGATTAGTAAAACAGAGTGGTGCTCGAACAGAAATAGTAGTATGATCAATACTATCACTGGAAGGATGTTCAACTGTCGTGTTTGATACCAGAGACAGAGTTTTAACACCATGACATAAGATGTCTGAAGACATGTCTTCAGACACCGATGTACGCAGTGCATTTTCTGGCCCATGCAGCGACCATGTGGCATGTCCCTTTTCTGTCAGAGGCAGACGATCTGGTCTTGGTGGAGTATCAGAAAGCTCCTGACTCTGCGGACTTTCCGGTGAAGGTATTAAGGCTGTGTTAGACTGTGCCACGCTGCATTCCATACATGAGTTTTGAGAAGCATCTACAAATGAATCCCCTGAAATCTGTTCCTGTGGCTTAAAGCTCTTATCAATTACACAGGATGGCACAGGCTTTATTTTAATTGCATGTCCCCTGTTCAACAGGGAGTTCCCATCAAAGCTTCGTGGTCCCTCCTGAAGAGGCACCTTCTTGATCTCAAAACTTAAGTTGCGCTCCAGCCTCTTCTCTGCACGTTCACTGGGTTCATTCTTCCCTGAATGTTCTGTTGACTTATTATAATTCTCGTTGAGGTCTGTTGAATGCTCTGATGAAACCATGTGCAAAACTGGCTTTGGATGGTATCTATCATTGTCCTGCCACACTGTAGTGACTGTTGGGTAAGCTGACGGGGGAGATGGCGTTAAGATTGGTGGTACTGGCTGAGGCTCTGGAGGCTGCAAGATTTCTTCTTTAGCATCTCCTTCTACAAGGCAACTGCAAAAAACCCAAAACACAATTGTGTAAGTTTTCTGTATTTTGACAATATTTTAGATATCTATCCATCTGTCTCTGCAGTAGTAATGCCTTCATACCAATACTAAACTCCAAGCAGCACTTCCACTGCATACAGACAGCGGTTATAAAATATGACTAATGAGGTAGGCAAGAACTAAGTCAACACACTCAAAACATCTTTCTGAATATCACAAAGACATGCATTCAGGCCACAACTAATCCTCACTGGTAGTTCAAAGAGTGCCCATTTCCATTCCCAGAAGGATTTTTTTCAAAGACTCTGTAAGGAAGGCCCTCTTGTGGCAGGATTTCAGTACTTTTCTGCTTTCTTAAGAAGGCTCAGAGAAACTCGTACAGAATTCAATTTTCAATAAAGCCCAGAAAAATGTAGTTAAAAAAACCCTTACAGCCTGCTTAATATTAAATATCTTCCTTTATTTTTATTTTTCTGTACATATCGAGGAGAATGTTATTTTTATATTTGCGTATTTAATAGTTTCTCCATAATTGTAAGGCTAATGATACAGACCAAATTCAGCTGACGAGGTGCACACTGTATAAAAACCATTCACAGTCAAATATATGATCCAAATCACAGTGCATGTTAGTGAGACCACAGCACTTATCACAGTTCATCTTAAGCTATTTAAAAGGAGAAGCTGTTCAAACATATGGTCAATTTACTTTCAGGTTAGATGCAGAATATTTGACTACAAACATTTTGCACAACTGACTGAGGACTTTGTCTACAAACAGAAATTAAGCATTTTCATTCAGAGCTTTCAAAAATATTTTCTTTCATTATGTAAGACTAGTAACATAGTAATAACTGAGATGCAAAACAAATGTGTGACAAGAACAGAAATAGAATGAAATAATTTAAAGAAATGATACTTTTATTCCAGGCAGATAAATCAAAGCACAATAGACCATAGTTTGCAGAAGAGTGCAATTTGGCCACATGCTTGAGCTGAGAAATCAGCCCATTTTACATACAAAGCTCAGATCACTTCCTCCTGTTGGCAGAGATGTTCTTCATGAGGAAGTAATAAACCTTCTATACAGACTAGCTCATAATGTTAAAGGCAGTGATATTTAGAAGACAGATGGTCCCATCCCCCCATGTTAGGGGAACAGACAGTTCCCAGGGTCACTGAGTCTTTACTGTCATGTTCTGGTGGTCCCAGCACCAGAATAACCTTGAACAAGCAAGAGGAAGCTAAATCCTCATATACGCTTAGGTTTTTTGGATAATCTGTGTCAGAGGTCCCATGAATTACCCAAAACCAGTTCTGCAGTAGGAGACTTGGAACCTTCCCTTGGGGATAAGGTTACAGCAGGACATTCTCTTCCCACAAAAATTAAGTCACCAGTAGACCTTGAGCTGTACCTTCCTTTCACAATCCAACATCCCGAAGAACTGAATCTATTCAGAAGAGTATTCACAGTACTCTTGTGAAATAGACTTTTTTTTTTTTTTTTCAAATGAATTCAAGGCTACACACCAAAATCTGGAAAGCAGATGCTTCCAAAAAGACAAAACCTCTTACTACCTGCTAGATGACAGATCACTGTGACAGTATTCTCCTGCTGCATTTGTGCAAAGCCTGGGAGAACACAGCGTATCTGACAGGTCTGGAAGAAGGTGTGCCAATAATAGCTCTCATGTTGTACGGGCCAGCAGGATGATATGCAGATTATATTCTCTAGGCCCTGTAATTTCAGGCTATTTAAATTAAACTTCGATGACAGCAGTAGTAGTTAATCATACATTATTAACTCAGATGAAGAATGAGAACGTATTTACATTTTAGAAACCTGACAGATTCTGTGGATGAAAAAGAAGTCTCATAATGAGCCATCAGCTACGAAATGAAACCACATCTTCAGAACTTGCAGGTGAAGTCAATCACTACGTTTTGAAGACTGACAAAGGCTACCATTGGCCTCCTGCACTTGTTGATTGAGGCATCTGGATTTCCAAGACAACTCTCCATCTTCCTTTTGTTGTTCCTAGTAAGTCTGAAAAAGCTTTTTTACTTGTGAGAACATGGACTAGTAACATAGTTCTTGGGCAAAGGATCTTCCATCTTCTCAGCCAACATTAATAAGAAAGTTTTATTAAAAACAATGAGTAGAAAGCCTTAAGAACACAGATAGTCTGTATCCCTTCAGTATTGCATTATGTAGCAATCTATGATGAGGTTTCCTCTCATACTGCTCGCATATGTCAACCTATCTTTGTCAGACAGCATGAGGAAGCAAGAATAATTCAGAAATCTTGATCATATTTTCAGAAAGGTTACTGGAGAGCATAGCAGACAAACAAAAACCCTGACAGCTACAAAACTGAATTGCTACTTCTGCCCCAAGGACATTATTAATTTCATTCATTTCTGTTTCATTTAAACAGAAAAAAGTGTTAAGTATCAAACGTGCTGTTTCTGCTACACTGGAATAAAGCCAACAGTGGGCTCACTTTTAAGAGTTATAGGCAATACTGCTAAAACCCACACAATTTCACAAGAATTTCTGTCCGTCTATTCACGAATGAAAGGTATCAGATAGGCTCATTACTTCTCTGCATGTCATACCACAAACAAAATCAAAGTAATACAATTAGCTCCCCTACTTGCAAACAAGGCCTAAAAAAGACTTGGCCAGTGCAAATTCTTGAGACTATCATGACATACGCTAAAAAAAAAAAACAAAACTAAAACAACACCCCCCCCCCCCCCCAAAAACAACAAAAAAAATACCCAAACCAAAACAAAACAAAACCAAAAACAACAACAAAAATAGGGGACTGCCTCACACTTATACCTTCTACAGGACTGAAAGCACAACTCCCTTGGGATAGACCACAGGATGAGTTTCATCCTTCTGATTTTATTAGCACCAAGCTTTAACAGTGTGGGATGAAGAACTAAAATCCTTATACAAGGGATTCTGAAGAAAAAAAAAACCTGTCTGGATTTTCAATTTATGAAGATTCCCACCCAGTGAAGTACTGCAAGCTCCCCAGCTTCCAAACTATCTTCTAAAAGTTACTGTATCTTTGTACCTGGAAAACCCCAGATCCCCTTGCAGTTCTCTCAGGTGCCCTTTTCCATCCTCTGCCTGTCTGACTCCTGTCACAAAGGGTTGGGCCTCAAACTCCTTCTCTTCCTCCCCTCCCTGCACTTGTATATTGCTATTTTTCTCTACATTAAAATAGGAGGAATACAAAGCACACCAAAACAGTCTAATCAAACTTAATTTGGGAACTGTTTTGCCTCTAGATGTTCTTGAAAAATGAACAAGCTTGCGAGTAAGTGCTTTGCTGGAATTAGTAAAGATAAACTGGGGGGGGAAGAAAAAAAAAAGTAAGTCTCCAATTTAATATGCACTAAGGACAGGAGAATTACCCTCCTCTTGGATTTCTCTCCTCTATTCCAGAAGAGAGAGAAAGATCACTTGCACAAACATTTACATGCCCCCTTTACCAACAGTGATGCTCAACAATGATCTCCACTAAATCCTCCTACTAAAAATGAGGTTTTCCCCTTATTGACCTCATTTTCCTGACCCAGAGTTATATATGCAATCAGCAAAACTAATTTCTTATCTGGTACAGACATACCATTAAGCATTACAATTAGCTAAAGCAGCAAATTAGCATTAAACTACATATGACAAGATTATAGGCCCATAATACCAGTCAAAATTCATTAAGTTCTTCACTGATTACTGTTTAATGAAATCACACTCCCATTTGATTCACTAGTAAACAGAACCCCACATGTATACAAACAGCCCCCTTAGAGGTATGTGTAGATCTGATGATACAGGAAATACTGCGTATCAGCAACCCAGGAGTTGTTTAATCATCTTCCTTGTACATAGCTAAAACAGAGCTATTAAATGTTCCCCATAATATCTGAAGTAAAATTTAATTCCTTCACTCTTAAATGAGAGCTTACAATGATCAAATGAGAAATTTATCAAAATCATTCTTTGCTTTATTCATATTGAAAATTAATCCTCAGAAAATGAGATGCTCAAATAGCATTCTGATGTATTTTTTTTTTTAATTAAATATATGCCAACCAAGATTTCTTGGGTTTCTCTGAATATGTAACAATTTTTCCATTTTACTGACACCATAGTATTATTATTTCACATGTGCTGCACTGCAAATAATGTTTTTCTTCCTTTTTATAAAGCAGAAATATTAGGATATGTATACATTTAAAAGGTCCTTGTTTGGCAGTAGCTTATTCTAAAACTCTTGCCAGGAAATCTTAGGCATTTTGGGCTGCTGCATAATGCTTTCTTTGGGCACTTCCTTCAACAGCTGTGCTCTATAGACACTTCTCCCCAGAGGCAGAAAATTATTTGAAGATGAACTACTAATATTATTACAAACAACAGGAGACAGTATAGTAAAACCAGCTTGATTTAAATTACCAGAAAGCTAATAGAAAGCTCATGAAAGAGGATATTGAGACAGAAGAGAGTCAGTGAACCAAAGAATGCTAGACTACTTGAGAAAGAGAAGCAAGCTTTCCTGCATTAGACCTTTAAATTAACCCTGCATTGCTTTTATATATTGTAAAAACAAGCATTTTGCAAGTACATTTGTAGAATCACAATGTGCAAAAGAAAACAGAACGTCTTCTCATAACTCAGCCTTGACAGCATCTCTTCATATACAACTGCTACTGATTATCTTGTAATTCCACTACCTCAACACTTCCTCACACGTAACTGTATATGGAATTTCCCTGGATGACCAGAGCAGTTTTTTCATATGCTTTTATTGCCACACAAACTGAGCAGCTGATGCTGTGCCTTAATGTGTCAAAGACCTCAAAGTTAATGGCTTCTCAGCTGTCAGGTAAGCCATGCATTACGCAACAATAAGTTTTGTGAATTTATTTGTGGTAATAAAAATTAATAGTAAGTTGCCTAAAGTACAATAATTTGTTAAAAAAAAA